TAATCAATCAATCAATCTCGGGAATTATATGTTCCCTTCAGAAAATAATGAAAAAAAACATTAAAAGGTTGAAAAAGCATGAAGCCTATTTAACTGAATACTAATTAAATATCCAAGAACGAAATAACAACTAAGAACCCTCGAAGCAAACTAAATATCTTATGATTTTTTTTCTTCAATAAATAATAAATATAGCCGCCCATTAGTGTTGAGGAAAGATTCCGTTGTATTTGACCACACGAGTCGTGCTATTAATCACAAGCTTCCAAGTGTTGTATGTTGCCGTGTATCTCCCATTGTTGGGTTCAAGTTCATAGTTGCGGATCGCATAGACTTACCCTACTTTAAAAACATCACGAAATTCCCTCATATTGGCAAAACGTATAACGCCAAATATTTGTGCCCCCTATAATATAAATATATAAAAAATAAATTGATTAATTCGTATGAATGTACTTACTGTATATAAATTTAAAATATTACCTCTTGGTCTTGAAATAAGATCTGGAAACGATTCTTGTCCTCCAAGACGAACTGAGTCTCTAAAATAAGAACAACTCTCAATTTTAAATAAGGTCTATTGGACCTATTGACTGCACGAAGTGTACCGAAAACGGCTGCCATTGTTTTTTATCTTTTTTTAAGAATGTGTTTGTATGTTTTTTTTTTTACCCACACGAATTGGAGAAACAGATGATAACACAATGAGTATATATAGAAGTCTAAGACCTCACTTCGTCTTAGAAAAAATATTTGTATATATCACATGAGATCTGATTTGATTGTTCTATAATCATTCCTTAATTATATATTTAAAATATGACTCATTTTCAATTTAGTTTAGTATTATTGTTTAGTTTTGTTATAATATTTTATGTTTGATCCATATCGCATGCTACTTTTTGTTATTGCATTTTTCTGTTATTTATATTTAAATATTTATTTATAATTTATTAGTGCATATATAATATTTTAATATCTATATATATATATATGGAATGAACGTATTCATAATTTTTTTTATATAAAATCCAACTTAGTAATATATATGTATATGTTTTATTAATTTTATTTCGTTAAGTTAGAGATTTAAGTGATGAATTCGGAAATAACTAAACACAAGTTTAAAGCAAATGAGAAATTTTATTATCATTCATGAAATCTCGAGAACTATATGTTCCCTAAAGAAAATCATGAGAAAAACATAATTATTCAGAACGCATAAATCCTAGTAAACTAAATACCAATAAAATATTCAAATACGAAATAAAAACTTTCAAAGCAACCCAAACATCTTAAAGAAATTGTCTTATTCATCTAAAAACAAAGTCTTCTAATTATCATCTTCCCCATCGGTCGGGAGCAAATTTCCATCATCATCAACCTTTGCTTTTCCCTTATTGCTTGTGACCGATTCATTCGCAAATTGATCCCTCAAGTCCCTCTTCGCGGTTGAAGTCTCGTCAACTTTCTCACATTCTTTATTGACCTTCAATGGGGTGGAGGCTTCATCGTCCAAGGCAGCATCCTATAAAAATTGAAATAATTCATTTTAATAAATTTTGACTTTACAAAAATATAAGGTGACTATATAAGTTGAATTTACTCCTTCTTTCGCAATGTCTTCTTCTCTTAGCAAGAGAGTCATAAAATCCGAGTCCTATTGAAAAAAGAAAAACGTTAGTATTTATTAAAAATAAAGAAAAGCGAATATTGATTGAAATAGTTAGACCTACATCTTCTTCATAAACCCATTGGTTATACTTTGAGACCAAGTTGTCATCAACTACCACCCTAAGCACGTTGAATGAAGAAGCAAAGTTGTAACGATCATTAGGCTTAATGCGAATTTTGAAAAGATATTTCTTGCCAACCAAATCTTCAACATCGTCAGGAAGATCAAAGACAGCCTGCTTCTATAACAATAGAAGAGAATTTTATATGTCAGCTTACTTAAAGTTAAAAAACATCATGCTAATGTTAAATAAAAAAAAATTATTGGTTAAACTCGAGATAATTACCTCCCTCTCGGCATATTCGCGCTTCAGTATATCACAAGGTTTGCCAATCATCCTTTGACAATCTTTATCCCAACAAACCACAGTCATATGCGCAGAAGCATCGTACACATCCATTTGAATTTTATATCTAATTTTTTCAAATTATCATGTCATAAAGTAATCATAAAATTAAAATTTTAAATTTAGTAAAATATAAAAAACAAACCGAAAAATGCCACGATTGTGAGTGCACTTTCGACACTTATGATTGAGCCCATCGGTCTCCATTGAACTACTACATCGAATACATGCCAAGTACCACCATTCATCTATGATGGAACCAATTGTTGCACACACCCAAATGTCCTTAGACTACAATGGACAAATCAAAAATCACGATTAAGTATTATAAAAATTCGAAAATCATTATGTATATTTTTTTTGTAATAATTCAAAGATTTTGTAATTAAAAAAAATATTGTGTATAATTATTTTGTAAATTACCTCCACACAATCATGTAAAGAATCAACTGTACTAACTACGACATCCCCGTCCTCCAGTTGTTGAAGTTCAGTCTTGACAACAATGGAACTATTCGACACCAAATGAGTATTCCTCAATTTACCCGCAGCCAACCTTGTGGTAGAAGAATATGGTAGAAGAATATATAAATTACGTAGAAAGATATAATATATTATTTATTAATACGTATATTAATAAACAATTTATTTAATGTACCTCCTCCTAAATTCACGAATTTCGGGGACATCCACACAAATGAGAAGAGTAACATCTTTTGATGTGCTTATTCGCACTTCACCTACGAATAAATAAATTAATTAAGATATTATAAATTATAAATAAAATAAGAAAAAAAATTATGTCAAAGTTAGAAAATATTACCATCAAACACCTTAGCACGGCACATTTGCATGATGATGACAAAAGCTTGTTGTTCATTCATGTAGTGATGCTCAATAGCAATTAGTTGATCAACATATTGTCCCCAAAGGGTACAATTTTTCTTTTTCCCTCTATATAAATCGAGAAAAAATAATTCAAATTCAAGAATAAATATTTGGTAAGAGATCAAACAATCATTTTATAAAATTTAATATAATACGAATTACTATAAAATTTTATATGTACTTACTCCAAGTTCATAAGGGAGAACAATCATTTGAGTTGCCTTCCCTTTCACAGTCTTCATTTGGATTGGTTGTATTTCAACCACCACCCCAATAACATCTATAAAAACAAATATAAAGTTAATAAAAAAATTGGATAATAGAAATTTTTAAATATTAAATTTAATACACGAAATAAACAATATACCAAAAAAAATAAAATCGAAATAAATATATATAATAATCTCTTACCAAACAACATTGTTTCATCAACATTGTCGATGTCCATTAGAGTTGCAAAATCTCTAAAGATGAAACGAAATGTAGGGAAAGAATGAGGCCACTTGATAAATTTAGTATCCTTATTGATCACAAGTCTCCAAGTGCATATTGTGGTTTGGTAAATGCCGGTGTTGCTCTCAACTTGGTAATTTTTGAGAACATACACCACTCCTTCTTCCACTTCGTTGATGAATTTAGAAATATGCATGGGTCGGACCAAAGCATTGATACGTCCTCCCTAACAAATTACATACAACAAATGATTATTTCAAATTGGAGTGTAAATTAGAATTTAAAAAATAAAAAAGTTAATAAATGAATGCTTCAATACATACCTCAGAATCATGCATTATAAACTCAAGCGGATTTTTGTAACCACGATCTTCCTCTCGTTGAAACATCCGAATAACACGTAGCTTAATGAACGGCCTATTAGTTCTCTTGAGATCTTTAATAGTACCAAAAGCCGGAGGCATGTTGAATAGTAGGGGAAAGATAAAAGAAAAATATTTTTGGTCGTGTTGTATGTTTTAGACGTGTAAACTAATTTGCTCACAATGGGTGTATATATAGTGATTGAGTGTGTGGCTTGTGTTAAAGAACGATGAATTATAGAATTTATATATAATAAGGAGTTTAAATTGTGTAGGATTCTTACCAAGTAACATATTAAATAAATCGTTTTATTGTATTTCCTTTTAACGATATACGATGGGTAATAAATAACAATTACATTTGTTTACTAAAATTTTATCCAATTGTTTACCATATAAATGCGCCCCCACAAAATCAGGATATAATCACGTGAATTTGTTTACCATTTAATAAATAACAATATCCTATTATCAAATTACAATATGTTATTCGGGAATATAAGAGATTTAAATTGTTTAGGATTCTTATCCTATTAACAAATAACACTATTATATTATCAAATCAACTAAAGTAGGAAATTGTACCATATAAATGCGCCCCCACAAAATCAGGATATAATCACGTAAATTTGTTTACCATTTAATAAATAACAATATCCTATTATCAAATTACAATATGTTATTCGGGAATATAAGAGATTTAAATTGTTTAGGATTCTTATCCTATTAACAAATAACAGTATTATATTATGAAATCAACTAAAGTAGGAAATTGTCTCTTTCTTGCAGGTACGGAGACTGTGGACTCTATTTGGAATGTAGGCGATCAAAATTTATTCCGATATTATATGAATGTGATTTTTATGGGTGTGATGTGATTTTTATTATTCTACAACTTGTAAACAAACATTATAAATTGCGTGGTCGGATTTTATGGGCGGATGGCATGAGATATTGCTAAATCTTATCACGTTAACAAATTAACATAAATAACGGAACAAATAATTGAATTGACAATTGCATGGGATCCAACACAGAATTGCATGGCCGGCAAAATATCAATTTCAAACATTTTAAAAATTTGTTTAAGCGGGAAAAAATTGATAAATGAGCGGGAAAACAAAAACATTTTTTTCGGATTGTTCAAATATTTTTTCTTCTCTGTTTTATATAGTAATAGATGCTAAAACTATAAATTTGTGATAATTTATTAACAAAAAAAGAACTGAAAAATTATTAACCAAAAAGTTGGAGAGATGGCCAGCCAGAGCCAGAATTCTCTACTCTCTCAAACACTTCGCAAGAAAGCTGCGTACAGTTCACACATTTACTCGTTCAAGAACACACACTCTCTCTCTCTCACTCCCACTAGATTTTAGCAACAAATTTCTGAGTATAATACTTGAATACCACAAATAAGCAAGAATTTTTGAATCTTTTTGCCAATATTTGTGTTCATCCGCTTTTTATCTCCTAATCTCCTTTGGAAACCGCTTCACATCTCGCGGCCAAATTTCCATTTTCACTTTTTTTTTATGGGTCCAATTTATTCCATCGGTTTTATGGATTAAATTTTCCGGGTTCGCCATATTTCATCCGATTGGAAGAAAGAGAAGAAAATGAGGACGCTTGGTGTTCGCTTTATCATTGTTCTTCTCTATGGGTTTGTTCTCATGGATAACTCCTCAGCCCAGATGCCAGGTTTATCTATTTTCTGTATATTTATACGTGACTTGTCAATTGTCAGTGTATTGTTGTTATTAATGCTGTTGTTGCTGCAAAGAGTTTTAAGTAACTGAGGTGTTGGTTTTTGCTTCTTATTTGCTCTTTTGTTTGCTGGCACTGAGTTCTTGGTTTTTTTGCTTACAGCTACGTTTTTATAGTAAATTTGCTGATTTATGTTAAATTAGTAGCCTAAAGGATTCAGTTTTGTTAAAGACGTTGTATAAACTCAAATTTGCTTAGGGACAGAATTCGAAACCATAAATTTAGGAGCTTTTTCTTTACCTAAAAGTTGTAATATATAGGTTTCTATACTGTGCATCTGGCAACCTACTGTGTGAGTGAATCTGTGAAGCTCATGTACTGAGTGATTCACCTAAATTTGAGAAAAAAGTCATGACATGGTGTTTTGGGTTTAAGCATGAAGTTCCAATTGTAAGTAGTTTTATCCAGATTATAAAGATGTATGTGGACAGTTTGTAACATTTCATAGTTTGCTAAGATGAGCATTTTTTGCTATGGTAGACCTGGGTTTGCTTTCTCTCTCTCTCTCTCTCTCTCTCTCTCTCTCTCTTTCTCTCTCTCCCTCCCTCCCTCTTCTTGGCATTAGGATTAAAACCAAAAATGTTTTGATATTGGAATATTTAAAACATGTTGCATATCTCATAACTTCATTCGCTTTTTGTTGAAAGAATCTGTATTTCTTCGTCGACATCAGCCAAGCTTTATAATTTACCTTATAGCGTGTGTATGAAAAGTGACAGAACTCATTGTTTAGTTGAGGACGTCTGTGTTTTTACAGGTTTTTTCCATTTAGTCCTTTTATTGCTGAATGTTCTATACAGCAATCCAGTCTTATTACAAGAAGTTACATAAATGGACAAAAGAAAGAATTTTTAGAGCACCATTTAGAGAACCAATTTTACTTGCAGAAATGATTTTCCTCTTCTCGCATATGGGATAACGTTTCAGAAAAAAAAAAAAAAACTATAAACACAATCCAAAATCATTACGAAACGAGTTCTTAAGCTTCTCCATGTAAAAACTATACTAATTTTGATTAACGACCATATATGCAGGTTTTGTGAGTATCAACTGTGGTAGTACATATAATTTTACAGACGAATTAGGCCTCAACTGGAGTCATGACAATTACATGAAAATCGGACAAGTGGCCAACATATCTGTAGCAAACGAGACCAGACAACAATATCAGACACTAAGATACTTCCCGGCAGATGAAAACAAGTATTGCTACACACTAAGTGTTATTAGTCGAACCAGATATCTTATAAGAGCTACCTTTTTATACGGGGACTTTTATAACAACAATGTTTATCCAAAGTTCGACATCTCTCTTGGGCCTACCCATTGGGCCACGATAGTGATTTCGGATGCTAACACGATTGAGAGTTCGGAGTTGATTTTTCTTGCTACGGATCCTACAATAAGCGTTTGTTTGTCCAATGCTAAAACTGGAGTGCCTTTTATATCCACTCTCGAGCTCAGGCAGTTTAATGGCTCCATATATTTCAATGAATATGAGAATCAGTATTACCTTAGTGTGTCGGCAAGGATAAACTTCGGTGCGGAGAGTGATGCTTCTGTTAGGTATGCTGAAAATTTTGAACTTTTTACTTAATTTTTTTATTTCCCAGCATGTGCAAAAAAAGGGGAGAAATTTTTTACTAGTGTCTCCAAATGGCTGCTATTATTTGCATCTGGCATTAATTGATTTCTAAAAGCAGGGGAAGAGAGATGTTAGAGTGTGTCGGTATTGTTTTGCTTGAAGAATTTAATCAATTGTAAGAAATATGATGGCTTTTTGAGAGTGTAATTAGATATGGGTGATGTAAGTAGTAAATACCATGATTTTAGTTCATTACTGTGGAAATAGTGAAATAATGATATAGGATATAATTTGTAGTTAGATATGCTTCGGCAAATAGTCAAATGCATGGCAATGATTTTTCCTTTTCAAATAGTGTAGATGGCATTTGTGAGGAAAAAAAATAAAAAATGAGAATGAGTGCATTTTACTTCATTTTCCCAAATGCAGAGTTATGTAAGCACTGCCCAAGTTGGTTTCATGCCATATCGGTTAACTCCTCAAATATCCATGATTTATTTATATATATATATATATATATATATATATATATATATATATATAAAACATTTTGCAGATACCCAGTTGACCCGTTCGATAGAATATGGCTGTATGACTCAGTAAAAAAAGCAAACTACCTAGTAGTAAGAAAAATGATGGCATTTTGAGAGTGTAATTAGATATGGGATGTAAATAGTAAATACCATGATTTAAGTTGATATACTTTGGAAATAGTAAAATAATGATAGGATATAAGGTGTAGTTAGATATGCCTCAGCAAATAGTCAAATGCGTGGCAATGATTTTTCCTTTTCAAAAGTGTAGATGGCATTTGTGAGGAAAAAAAAAAAAAGAAAAAAAGAAAGAATGAGCGAATATGTAAATACTGCCCAAGTTTGTTTCATGCCGTATCTGTTAACTTCTCAAATATCCATGCTTTATTTATTTATCTATACTAGTACAGTCCCGTGCGATGCACGGGGGTTTATTATCTCCGTCCCTTTTATAAAGCAATGTTCAGTTAAAATTCAAAGTACTTACTAAAGGAAAGATCATGCCATTAATAGTAAATAAATTAATAAATACAATGATAATAAAATTTATATATTATTGAACACTTCCTTATATACGACGTTCATGGTTTGATTCTTTGGCACGTCATCGTCGCCGCAAATTACGACTTTCAAACCCATTTCTGTTTGTGACACGGGAGACAGCAACATACAATTGACCATGACTAAACACTGGTTTCTTAAGAAAGAAGCTCACATGCGATAATGATTGTTCCTGACTCTTGTTTATAGTCATGTTGTAAGTAAACATAATGGGAAACAATTAATCCAATAACATCTACAAAAATATAAAAAAATGCATCATATTGAAATGTATGACATATAAAATAGTTTATTA